GATGTCACAAATCTCTTAGTTTGCAGGATTGGGTCTATCGCTGAGGTCTACACTTATCTCTCGGGAAGGTGTAGTATTTGCGGTATCAGGCACGATTTTGCAAACTATCAGACTAATGAGATCCATTTGGTCTCATTTTTCAAAAATTAAAACATACTACTTTTAAAACTCAAACTATATATCTTTTATACTTAAATTAAATCACAAAAATTATTTTCATATACCATATTTTCATAATTAATCAATCGAAAAAAAGTTGATCGACACATTATAATACATATATTGTTTGTAGAAAAAAATGTTGTTTCGCCACTCTTATGATCCATAAAATTCCTGACTTGAAAGATGCAAACCCATTAACCTTAAAACGTAAAAAGCTTGCATATGTAACTCAATGAGATTGTGAGAAACTAGAATAAAAACACCAATAATTGGATCATAAGATTATTATACTATGGCTTCAGAAAAACATAATGGTTATAAAAGAAATTCAATGAAATGTAAAATTAGATTTCAAAAAGGATAATATCAAAAATTCTGGAGGCATTTACTAATTAATGACATAGCAAATTACAAAGAAGTTACAGCATAGCCGTGTAGATAAATACACATGGATCTTTAAACATACTACTGTAAATTCAAGGTACATAACACAGAAGCAATATTTATTCAATAGAAAAAAAAAAGAAAGTAAGAGCTCCATGCTGTACATGAACAAAATAACTTGGGGAACCTTACTGCGCAGTGAAGAATATATGCTAATGAGCAAATCCAGTTTATGACATGTTTTTTATTATTCCTTTGTGACGCATGAACATGCAAGAGATGAAAGGATCTTTAGTCTCAATGTTAAAAAGTACTATAAGTGTTTGAACAAAATTTACCCCTGTGCCTTTGCTAAGATAAAGGCCACCACCCCGCACAAGAAGCCAAAGACCACCATCAGCCCTCCATCCCATATTTTGAATTCTTCGCGCGATGGCTCTGTTATGTGGTTGCCAATATGGCTGCGAATCTCACAAAAAAACCAACCAAAATGATATGAACAACTGAGCACAATGTTATACCTCAAGAATTCTGACTGGAAATGATTGTAGAAAACGTTGAAGCTAAAGCAGTTAATTTGATATAGCACACTCAATAAATTGACTTTGTTATTTATAAAGCCAGCGAATTAACCACAACAGAAAATTTGTGATTCTTGAGAAAATATGAGATGAGGTAAAGCTTTTGGCAGAAGAAATACCGTAAAATACAATTTACATAGAAACTAAGAAGCTTCGCTAATGCTAAAATTTTATTAATCTGACCATATCATAAACAATATATCATAGAATGACAGTAGTTGACCATGTGAAATTTTCAAAAGCATAAATTCAAAGCGCATCTCCAAAATAGATTATTATTGGTGGAGAGCAAGTACAATGTAATATCCACTGTTCCCACATTGTGTTTGCATATTAAACAGCAGGTAAGCATGCAAAAGCTAACCTGCCCAGGTTCCCAAGTCAAATAAAAGTTTCCACGGCTTGAGACAGCTACATATCTACCATCAGGAGAGCGGGTCACTGTGTTAAATGTCCCTGTATAGTAGCTAGCACCACTAATCCCACTGGAAACTGTTCTGCATGATATATACTGATATTTTAGTTACACAGAATATAAAAATCTTCAATTATGATAATGTAAATGAATGTCATGCCACTTTTATAGATGAAAATTTTGCAAAAATGGTCATTTCTCAGGAAACTATATCCCCATACACAGAAACAAGCCCTTTCTGCATCCCTCCAATTGAATCGAACTTCCACAAAACCCACTAAAAAAGTACATAAAACAATACATGGAGAGAGAGAATGTTGATATAAAATTAGAAAAAATGCTATTTCTTTTGGCAGCTTTAGAGAAAATATCCATCTTTCTTGGCCAGCTGTCAAGTTTGTTCATCATTAAAAGTGAAAAGAAATTTAGTTATTAAGCATGCTACTAGAGATACTAAAATGTAAAATACATTCATAGATGAAAACTTTGAGCAACTAGCAACCTAACTTGGAGAATTTATACTTTAAACATAGGACAGCGTAGATAAATGCATCAAACATTTTTTATAAAGGACACGTTTATTTGTTTACCATTGGACAAGTGTGGCTAAAATTATTTTTTTCAATCCTAAAGTTTGATGGAAATACAACCAGCATTTTCGTATCAAGCAAAGATACAATGAACAATCAGCAAGGCATATTCTGAAAATTCTTCTACAAATGATGATACATGAGATTATGCAAGTACGAAAAAAAAAGGGAAAAAAAATAAAAAAGTATTTGAATAATTTTTATATAATATTTTAGTCACATCAATTGAGTGTGTTCAATTTATCCCTTGACTCTTCAAATATGATCCAAAATAGCCCTTTCATTGAATTACTTTGGATCAGATTTGAGAAAGTAAGAGACTATTTTGAATCGTATTAGAGAAGCCAAGCGATTAATTTGAACCTATTAGTCTTTGACCAAAATAGACCCCCATAAATAAATATAAATATAAACCATTTTGACATTTTTCGCTACAAAAATAAGAGCATGCCTGTTAAGAGTAGCAGATACAGTCTCCTGTACAGCTGCTCTCCAATTGTACCCACGATTTGAGGTGGTGTAGATTGCACCTTGATCTGTAACCATCTCAGCACTTTTCTCGCCAGTTGCTTTGATGTAAACCTACAGATGTAATTGAAATTTCTTGTCATGAGAAATTAGTGTTTGTTGGGTATGAAACAACTTAAAAAAGAAAACAAAACATCAAAAGGTTTAGTTTTTTTATGGATTTCAAAAACAAATGCACCAAAATAAAGACAAAAAAAGGTAAACACCATCTCAAAAACTGTTGTGAAAGTTCATTAAATGCCCTGTATAAGATGACATCAAATTAGTTTTTCATCAGGGGCATTGATAATAAACTGAACTAGAAACCGCTGCTTTAAATATGTTTACATTACCATTGTTTGCTTCCATTGTTGTAAAAAATGAAACGGAATGTTCCTCACTTCATACACAACCAGGCTTGCATGCAGCAAAGATATGACTTAACAGCTCATAAATCGGACCGCAAAAATGTTGACTTACAAAAACAATGTCTGAAAATTCACAATCTATTTTAGATTTGATTGTTATATATATAGAAAAAATATGGTAAGCACTAACTTTTCATTAATGTAGCAGGCTACAAATAAAAATGATACAAAATAGATGAGGAGAAGATCCACTTAATACAAGGGCAATGAACCATGCTACGGCTGGAAAAGTTGAATTTCCAGAGGAAAAAGAATCTTCGTGAGATAATAACCTTCAAGCTTGAAGAACATCATAAAGGTGATACAAAAAATTATGAATTCTAAAGCTTTCACCAAACAGCAAGCCATCATCCAAAGATCATGAAAGCCTAATCTGGCTATTTCTAGTAAGTAAAATTGTCCAAGAAGTTTCAAAAGGCATCATTCTTTGACTTAGACGCATAGGTTTTTTTTGTAACCACAGAGGAAACAAAAAGCACTGGAAAGAATTAAAACACGTTCCAGATTGAAATAAAACCAATTTTATTACAGCTAGCATCTATGCAGGTAGAAATCCTTAGAAGAAGGAAATAGCATAATCATTAATGTCCTATACCAACTATCTGACAAACTTGAAAATACAGAATCACCAGTAGACATCAACGTCCACTAGGAAGATATACCATATCTCCAGGAAGTTGGGAACTGAGTGGTATTCTTTCCCAACTTTCTCCAGCATCTGATGTGTAAAGTAAGATGGCAGGTTTTCCAACTATCCAACCTTCTTTCTCTCTGAAGCTTATTGAATTGAATCTGTAATTAAAATCTTCATCTTCTGCTGAGGGTATGGAGCGTGGAAACCAAGTGCTGCCACCATCTTTGGTCTCCAATATAGTTTGCCTGGTCCCCAACAGAAAACCTGAAGGGAGGACAAAACATCTATCGATCAATTTTGAGATATATGACCATAGATTACTCTAGAAAGAGATCTGGGGGTGCTATAACTGACAAGCAATGCATAAAAAACATTTATAAATATTATCACTTCAGGATCCAAACTTTCATGAATTTATAGGCTCATATTTAGTATAAATGTTAACAATTTTGTAAGAAAGCGCACAAGGACAACATTTAGATCATTGATATGAAATGCCCACCATGACAAACAATTTTCTTATCCCAGCTCGAGCATCATGACAAAACTTCTGGGAAAAGTTAGAGATTATAAGGAGAAGCAAGGTGGCACAGTAGTTATGTGAAGGCTAGGAGACTCATAAGATGCTTTAGAGAAACATTAATGAAAGAATAATACGTCTCCAATTGAGTAAGAAATGCACTTGTTGTTCCAATACACTAGGCCAAATTTAATACCATACTTGGACAAACTAAGGTTGTGGAGTGCACCATACTCCCACTTGCTAGCAACAGAAAAGCCTGAGATCCATTTTTTCTTAACTAAAAACCACTTTGCTTCGTCACCCCCTCTCACCCCTTCCTCGTTCTATCTTCTTATGGTAGTGGGATGCCAAACCATCCCCTTAGAGTGCTTTATTTCTAGTGGTAACAAAGCATGGATTTGGCAATAAAACTAATTACAAGAGTTTATAATATATCTTAACTAAAGATCCCATAGCCCACAAAAAGGTTTAGCATACATATTTAAAATAAATAACATATCTAAATCATATCTTATTGTAAGGATTTCATGGGAGAAAAAATTGACTTCATAATTTTTACGATGCAACTTTTAGAGATAGAAATTTTCAACATAGTAGCTTAACGGAGTGTAGAAATACTTCTTTGTGCTACATCTCAAAATAATCATTCATGGAGGTTAGCGAAAGCTTTACAAAGTCTCAGCTTATCTGTTGGTTCCCCTTTCGCGAGCATATTCATGTCGTTTTCTGCACGCTTTATTGTAATGAGATTAAATGCACTAATCACAATCAAACTACACATATTGTTTAACAAAAAAAATTCCTATCCTCCCATCCAGCATAAACACAACTAAAATAAAAAAAAAAAATAGCAAAAAAATATTAAACAAACATTGTGAATGATATAAACTTGTGCGTAAAAAATAATAATAAAAGAAATAGCACAAACATAACCAAAACTAGAATCAGAAATGCAGGGTACTTACAATGAAGTTGAAAGCTCACTTACAATCACAGAACTTCCAGACTACACTAAGAACTCTTTTGAATACTCAAGGCATTAGGAACACCCTTAAAACTTAAAAGGAAAATAAAGTAATAAACTAAGGGTTCCTACTTACAAGCAAAGAATGATCCCTCATAAGATCCACTTGAACAAAATGAGATCAAATATAAGTCAATATCAATGCTTTAAATACTCAACAAAGACTAAAACTCCTGACCTTAGCAACTGAATTTGCAAACCAACACATAAGTGAATAAAATGGAAAAGATAATGAACTTAAATAAAAATCATTTCGGCGAGCGGCTGCCACATTAGGCTTTCACACTTTCAGCAAGTTGTGTGTTCACGTGAATGACTTTTAAACAAAACAAAGAAGTGATCTACTCCACTATGCACAGGAGTTGTATCACTTGCGTGCAACAATTGCAAAAAGAAACTCCGACGCATCTCGAATGACAATACACTCTCGTGAAGGACAACAAATTTTCATGAATAAAAACCTTTCAAATAAAGACAAGTGATTAAATGTATTGTTTCACGGGTCGTACGGTCATTTTTGAAAAGGCATGTATTACGAAAATCAACAAAAGCAAACTTTTTCACATGTGATTAAATTCTAAGAATACCACGTGGACTAAACACAAAATGAATTAAATTATCTTATTTCAAAAAATCTGCTAATGTTTGGAAAGGTTTGCAACAATTTTAGAAATACAAACTCTTTTTAGAGCAGAATTCAAACCCATTAAACTAAATGCATCCACAAACAGAAAACGTCATAAGTATTAAAGTTTTCAATATGTATATTAAAATTTTGTTATTTAAACTCATATTCTTGGTCTAATGCATCTTACTCATCATCAAGAATTGACAACTATACATTCTACAGTTAGTCTCACAAAAGTAATTTTATAGTCCATTTAGAGATGGCCTTCAAGGTCTTTAATAAGGGAATTTCACTTTAAAATAAAAAGTCTAAGAATTATTATGCTCGTGAAATATAATAATTGATTCAGTTTCAAACTCAATCCTCAATATATTAAAATAGAATTGAAAAGGTCTATAACATGATGAATTTTCAAACTAAATTTAAGCTATATGCAAATGACAGGCACAATCTCCTATAAGCAAAGAGAGTGAATAAGGTTCAAAATGACAAAATAGATTTATCTGAATAGCTCAATAATGGTCATATTGATAAAAGTTTCAATCAGATGGAATTTTCATTGTTAAAACGAACACAAAAATAAAAGAAAAAAAGTTTCAAGTTTATTTTCAAAAAACACGTGAAATTTATAAAAAAATCAAGAAAATCAAAATCATTCAAATAAAATTTACCACCAAATTTTGAAAGCAACAATCTATTCACCCACCATGGTAGTTTATCAAGGGTGATAAATTAAAGTTTAACCTATGCTTATAAATTTCTAATTTCATATTAGGTGTGCATTTAAAAGATCTCATATCAATAAAAATATGGTATTTGTCCTTTAAAAATGAGATTTTGCCATCAAATGAAATCACAAGAGGAGCACTAATGATCTTGGCCCTTTAACTGAGAGGGGCACTACAAAATGGCACCCTTATATTACAATTACAACCAAACCTCGCAAAATTTCTCAATAGCTCAAATCTTTGAATGGTGAATCGTACGATATACTTCGTATGGCAAAAAACCCTCTTTAGCAAAGATTGGCTAGAAATGATCTTCTTAGACAAATATCAACCGTCGATGCACAAAGCCCCCTAGACGATGTAATTCATGGTTGCTGATAAAAATCATTTGATCAAGTTAGGACAACTATCTCCTCTAAATATGTAGAATAGAGGTTATGACAGACCAAAATGATAGATTCATTAGACTTTGATTAGGTTTCATTATCCATCCCACCACGCTCTACCTAAAATCAAAAAAAGCTCCTTCAATCTAAAATCAAATCGCTATTATTATACGTTGACACTTGGTGCCTAACAATTAGTTCTCTCTCGTCATTGGGAAGGCGGGTAATCGGCCATAAGGGCCTATTCCTATAAAAACTTGAAACTAAATCTTAAAGTACTCATAAAATGAGAGAAAAATCTCTGGATAATATATTATATATAAATCTAATATATTTTTTTAGAAATTTGACTCTTTAACACAAAAAATTCTCTCAAGAGAGTGATACATGAGTTATATGGGTTTCATATGAGGGTTTAAAGCGGCACATTTTGTTGAATTAAAAAAATTGCACAAGAAGCTTATCACTCATACTACATTATCATCTAGGTAGTAGTTAGATATAAAAAAAATGTTGTCGAGTACGAGTCAAAATGCTATGCTTTCCATATTGAGAATAATGAATATCAGAGACCTGGTGAACTATTATAGCATTACTTATTCTTGAGTGAAATGGAAAGACATTGCAATAAATAATGTTAAGATTTCGCAAATTGACATAGGATCACAATAGAATTTACATTTTAATTTATAGGTTAACTAAATCAACTCATTTTTCACCCATGAAATAAACATATGTAATTGAGAAGTTAGCCAAAATGCATGTGAGAAAAATTATCATATTACATGAAATTCCAAAAGATAATTTTAGATAAAGATGAAAGATTTACTACTAAATTGTGGAAATGTATTCATGAACATTTGGATAAAAAAATTACAAATCAATACAACATTTCAGCTGCAAATTTGTGGAAAATTAGAAATAAATATTCAGGTGCTAGAAGATCTATTGAGATCATGCATTCTATAAATTAAAGAAAGGTTGGAGTAACATATTTCAATGATAAAATTTGCATACAATAGCATATATCAATCAAGTATAAAAAAAAAACGCCTTATAAAACACTGTATGGCAGAATGTACAGAAATATATATATTAAGTTGGGCTGAAATGGGAGAAAAACAACAGATGAGTCCAAAGTTAGTTGACAAAATGATAGAGAAAATTAGATTATTTAGACACAAATTGAAAATATTTAAGATCGTCAACAGAAATACTATGACTCAAGATACAAAATGATAGAGCTTGAAGCTAGTGATTTATATTTTTAAAAATCCATCTTATGTAAGATAAAGCTAAATTTGATCAAGAAAGCAAGTTGAGTCATAAACTTCTACGAATATTTAAAATCATTAAGAAGATTGATAGAATCATTTACAGGCTAACCAAATTGATTGAGAAGTTAGATATTCACAATTTTTTTCATGTGTCAGCAGAGAAAATGAGTGACTGATACAAATAAAATAGTACAACAAAAAGAAGTTATGATATAGAGAGAATTTGAATGACCAATTGAATTTGATGTTAAAAATTTGAGAAAAAAATAAATCTTCTATGTAAAAAAGGAAATGGAGGCATAGATTAAAAAAGAGGCAACTATGAATAGAATTAGGAATGATATAGATATTTCCATATGTGTTTAAATGATATCTAACTGATTTTGAGGATGAAATTTTATTAAGCAAAAGAGAATTATCAAGCCTTATATTGACAAATAGATAATATAAATTTTGTTTCTAAATTAAATCTGATTTTTCGTACATCTCAAAAATCATTAAAACTATCTTTATAAAATTATACATTTCAATTTGATCATTTGATATATATGTCTTAAGTAAATTATATTAGCTTAAATAATTAGTGTACCAATTATATATATTAGCTTAATGTATACCAATTTAAATTGTTGTAACTAATCCCACTTTCGTTTGCATGTAACAGTCAACATAGATTGTTTTGATGATGAAGGGTTATG